CTCAGACTACCTACCATCTTTCTGCATTTTTCTCAAATCAATCGTTAACTGTCAAGTTCCTGGTATTTTACCTCAGAAACCCCGCAAATTTAACAAGCGAAAAGTTTCTGTCGCTGTTTGAAAAGTTGCTATTAAGATCGGGTACGAGACCGTCGGCGCCCCTCTTCTCTTGATGGTTCTCCTAATGGTGCTGTCGCCTGATCCCAGCGATAGAGTTCATACCAATAGCCTAGGCATAGAGAAAGCTGCCCTTCCTAGGCTTAGCTCACTGACTGTGCCCCTGTCTCATCGCTGTGACTTTAGTCCTTCTTCATTCTGAACCTGAATTGTAGAGAATGATTTGAGGACATCGCTGCTGCGGACACTTCGCCTTCTCTCGAACTCCTCGGATCCCGTTCGGGAGTTCTACCACGGTGCAATGGCTCGTGAAATGGCCAAGGAATTCGAACAATACGGTAAAATCATTCTAGATTTTGCCTCCCTTTCTCTCCGAAACATCGGTTTCAGGTGGAATAATTACCGAAGCAGATTTCTCCGAGTATCGATCGATAGTGGTTCCACACTCGGGCGTTATTTATACGAACCTCAAGAATGGCCGAGTGGTCTGCGGTCCTCCTCCACCTTCTGGATCAGCTGTAGCACAAGCCATTTTAAACGTCATGGACGGGTGGGAAAGGGTGGGATTGGGAAGGAGTAGTGTCTGCAGGTTACTTCTGACGGACTTTCTGTTTAGGTACGAGTATGACATGAAGTCATTCAAAGATGTTGCTCGTCTTCACCATCACTTCATTGAGTCTTCGAAATTCGCGTGAGTCCGACTGCTTTCTTACTTCTTCTTGAAATTCAAATTGAGAATGATCCATGAAAGGTATGCGGCTCGAACATGGCTCGGCGACCCTGCTTTTGTGGACAATGCGACCGCAATAGCCCACAACATCACGTCGAAAAAGTGGGCTGAGTGGGTGAGGTATGTGGTTTAGTAAACAGCGATAGTTGCCAATCGTATCTGTTGTTTCTCCAGGTCAAGATAACTGAAGAAACCCATCCCGACGAGTACTACGGAGGTTCGCTCGAGGCTCCCGCAATTGATCATGGAACGACTCATATTTCCGTCATTGATAGCCAAGGAAATGCTGTCTCTGTCACTTCCACTATCAATTTGTAGTGAGTTCATTTGGTAAAACAAATTTCCGCTCTTCTGCTGCGTCAGCTGGAGGCGCGTTTGTCCGCCAGTTGGCCGGCGGCGAGCAGTGGCTATTGCCAACCAACAACTGTCTGTTTTTATTGTTGGAGGCTGTCATATCTGGTGGTGAGCGACCACCACGTCCCCCAACTTGCCTACATAAGGCCATACTTTATTTGATGGTTTTTTGTTCTAGCCTCCATCATGTTTAAGAGGGAACATATGCTCTTCTCTATCACCCGTCCTATTTTTTCCAATTAAACGTTTATCACGCACGCTGAAAAAATAAATGGAAGCGTCGCGGATGACCTGTGAAAAACGCAGGTTACAGGTCCATCTGAGTTGCGCGACGTGCGCACTTAAGGCGCAAAAGCTTGCCTCGTCTACCAGCCCTTTTCCTCCCAGCGACTCCGGCCCTCCAAACGTCGCTTCAGCCTCCAAGCACCCTGCTCATGCATCAATGTCTCTTGTAGAGTCATAGGGTTCATTACTGGGAATCAGCCGACGGGAATTGTCCCAGCGCGCGGTCTTTTACCTCTACAGTTGTTTGAGGCTAGAGGAGGCCTGACGAATGCGTTTCCAACGTTCCCTTTGGCATTTTCTCTTCATAGATGGTTCACTTGGCGAATTTCTTCCACATTTCTGCAAAATCACGTGGGCTTTTTAGGCCTTTGAAGAAGGCGTGGGGTCCTGTTAGCCAGTGTGACGGATGGGCATTGTGCCAGCATAGGCGCGGATTCCGGTCCCTTCCGAAGCGAAAATATCTAGAACATAGCATAGTGTACCTATTGTACTTGTGGTAACTTCCTCATCACGATTTCAGGCTACAAACAGATCAACCGACGGCAAACTAATTGGGATAGCTCGTAACAATGGAACCCGAAACTCTGTATGGACGAAATTGTTTGTGAGGCAGTAAGAAGTAATGGACCGAAATTATTCAAGCCTGCCCAGATCAAGTGTGGCCTTCACTCTGCTTTGAATGATATCCTTTCCGTACCTTAGCAACATTGAGATCTATGCCATGATGAGTGGGTTACCGATTTAACCCCTATGGATTTTGCCGCGCATCTCACTTTGCTCTGTTCGGCACTGTAGTGGAATCTTTTCTGGTATACGCAGTGACAAGTGGCATGCTTGCCAGTACGCAGTTCGGCAATTACATGGTCTCCCCCGTCAAACCAAGCCTTCACCCTCCGGATAAGGCAGATTTGTGCCATTTTCGTCTTGGAGGATAAGCACACTTACCTGTACATCAGTTGGCTTTCGCAAGCCAGTTTGTAGGCCACATTGCATTTAGTGAGCCACCAACTATCGTGAACTGAAGTGGCATGTGTGCCGCATCCCAAAAATGGACTGATCAATGGTGGAGGCTTCATCTTTCATGCCTCGTAACAACATTTGCAGGACTAGCTGATGCAAAAACCTGTCCCTCTAGGCTATCAGAGCCATCTGTACTGATTATTCGACCCTGAGGGATTGATGGATTCAGGTGACTTGAATTTTGATACCTCGACCGCGCACGGCAAGTCGTGTGGCGATAACTCCCATAACTTTCTCATTCTGAGAAGTGAAAAACGGTGCTGAGTTCAGTTTGAAGGCTACTAGCTTCACAAGCAATATTCTTTGTAAGCACTGAATCCTTGTAGGGCTCATCCTCTATGATTATAGAACCACATGCATTTTCTTGTCACTCTTTCCTCTTCCGTGGTCTCTGTGAAACATTCAGATGCGAAGTTTTACAGCCTCGGAGCGGCGGTCGCGTCTCCGTCGACTGGTATTCTCTGGAACGATGAGATGGATGACTTCTCAACTCCAGACCATCCGAATGCTTTCGGTATTCCACCATCACCTGCGAATTTCATTCGACCCGGGAAGCGACCAATGAGTAGCCAAAGTCCCCTGATCATCTTCGATACAACTCCCGGGAAAAAGGCTAAGGTGAGTTTGAGAAGATGGTCCCACTACGAGAAACAGATCAAGATCCAAGCTAGATATAATATTACTACAACACATCCACTGAACATTTTTGAGTTTAGCGGCCTGCTAAATGGCAGTATACAAGCAATACTTTTCCACAGCGAACTTATTAAAACGTATTCCCGTAAAAAAGCTGCTTTGTAGCTTGTTTCTCAGTTATTCACTCAATACCTATTTTCCAGCGTCTCCTAGCTGTGGGAGGAGCAGGCGGATCGACGATAATCAGTGGGGTGGCTGGTGTGGCATTCCATAATCTTTGGCTAAAAGCCAATGTAAAGCAAGCTATCGATGGTCCTCGCCTTCACAATCAGCTCTACCCGAATTCCACCTCCTATGAACCGAACTTTCCCCAGGTTACACACCTTCCTCCAATATTCTTTTGACTCTTCTTTTCTATAATTCAATTTCGTTTTCAGGCGTACCTAACGGACTTGGAGTCACGTGGTCATAAGCTGAAGAAGGTCCAGAATCTCACCGTGGTCACGGCGGCCGAGCGAGCTTCCGATGGCCAACTGTACGCGAACAGCGACTTCCGCAAAGGGGAGGAAAGCTCCCCAGCCGGGTATTGATAGCTCATGGGCATCACCAGAGCTCTTCCATCCCGTGTCAGCTACTGTATAGATACTCATTCCTTTTGGATGCACTTGGTGCTAATCTCCTGTGACAACTTGGCGCTGAGGATTAAAGGAACCTGAAGGGCACACTTTTCCATATTAGCACCGTCCTCCCCCCCCCCCTTTCCGTTGATTGTGTAATTCATGGTAGACTCTCACTGTGAGGCATTCTCGACTATATATAATTCTGTTCGCTGTGGATGATGGGGCGTGTCAGCATGCCAAAAGTGATGTGTGTGACGCGGTACCAGTCCGTTTTCTCCTTTTTTTCCTTCACAAGCGACGAAACTGTATCACATCTTTCCAGTCAGTCATTTTCCACTGCTTGCGTCGCTTACCACTTCAACAAGTGGTGGAGAATGGGCTGGCGGTGCGCCAAACCCAGCCAGACGCCCCTTCTTCCGTAGCAAACAAACAAGACTGTATGCGAATGGTGATCAAAGTGACAGAATCGAAAGTCATTTCCATTCCCAAGCGATCCTTTTTAGCCTGACGATAGACACATTTGTAAAGGCCAGTGGCACGGTAAAATCCCAAGACGTGCAGGATTAATAAGTCTAGCAGGACGGAATCAGTGCCCCCCTGAGCCGGCACCGCGTAGCGCTTTTCAAAAGAATGTACCTTTATAAGACTATCAATCTGCAACATCTCGACCCAAACGCCTGGCGCGCCCGCCCGCCCACAAACTCCGAGAAATGCTGATGTTTATAGCTTCATTTGCGAAGTACAACGTGAAGCAAGGGGTTGGTGTGAGCGGCTGCGGTGCTGCATG